TCTTTCTTTTTTTTTTTATTGGAAATGAAGGCACGCGTAAAATCCCTCATGTCGCCTATTAGATTTAGATGATCATCGCACACACAAAAGAAAACTGCTCTGGGATTTTATTTTTCTGCTCTCCTAAAGGACTTGTAGCCTAAAAAAAAAAAGAGAGAAATCGTCTCGCACCGATGCAGAAGCGGTGATATTGTCTGTTTCCCCCCTTCTCTCTCCCACCTCCCTCACCCTCTCCCTCTCTCTCGTCTTCTTTGGTCAAAGATTTAAGATTTGTGATCCAAGACGAAGCAATTGCAGGCAAAAAACAACAGCAAGTGCAAGAGAAAAGCCCCCCCAACGCCCACTGGCAGTCCTGTTTTAATCAAACCCTCCTCATGCATCCTTGCGTTTTCGAAATAAATACTCCGATATGAACGCATCCAGTAAATTCCTGTAATTGCATTTGAATGATGGGACTTTCCGCTGCGTTTTCCGTAATTTTGACCCAGCGGTGTAATGTGCGCAGATCGCTCTGTGCATGTTAGAGCCTATTACTCCTCATTTTATGAGACACTGAAACCAAAATAGATCATATTACTGGTTAGGCTGCCCGACAATCATTTAAAACAAACAAACAAAAAAAAAAACAGAAAAAAGAAACGAAAACGCTCCTTTAATAAAAACCTGCGTCGCAGCTCTAATAAGCGATGATTGCACACATTGTGGGAAATGTCTGTAACGAAACGATGAAGGTTTGAGTTGATGTGAGATCAGGAAAAATGTGACACACGAAAGAACTCTTTGGCCTTTTTGCAGCTTCTTGCTTTCCGGTGTAGAATCGTGGATAAATGTCATTTTTTCTTTGCGGAACGCATCTTTTCTGGCCATGTAGCAGCATTTAAAATAAATATATATATATATATATTTTAATTATTTTTCCCTTCTACTGAGACGTGGGATTATGGTGTGGGCGTGGGCGTGTTGGGTGGAGGAGGAGGGATGAGCGGAGGCGGGTTAGGAGGGGTCTGTGGGGTGGCACGACACACTTTGTATGTATGAAGGTTTTTTTATAGCACTTTTCTGCAATGTACGTCAGCGGATCAGTCCATAAATGGGGCTGCGTGTGCTTGTGTGCGGGCGTGCGCCTGCGTGCGCCTGCGCCTGTGTGCGTGCGTCTCCGCGTGTGTTATCTTTACCGAGAATCTCCCCTCTCTCTCTCTCTCTCTCTCTCTCTCTCTCTCTCTCTCTCGGCTCTGCAGAGTCGGGGTGGGCGTCAATAACAAACCTGATGGTAGGTTTTATTGCAAAAAAAATAAATTAAAAATGAGCAGAAATTCTTGGGCTTCTGCGGCCTGTTCATTAACGAAATGTGAGCAGTAATTGCGCGTTCGGCGCTGATTGGCTCCTCTGCTGCTTCATGTGAATGTTGGCCTTTGTGTGGCGCTTTTATTATCATTTTTTGAACTCGTTTTGGGGGCTCAAAGGAGCTGATATTCATTTTCTTTTCACCCCCAAAATAATCCACCGTGTGCTCGCCCACGTTTTCATTCATGAAAGTTGCCCATCACCGCCCCCCCTCCCCGCTCTCCCCCCACAAAGCCGATGTCTAATAGAAATTATAAATAAGCTTTATTGATTATTTTTGGGGCTATACGTGGCGGAAATGTCGGCTCACGGCGCGGCGGACGTCACGATATATTTAGAGCAAAAATTAATCATGTGAATCATGATGTAAATGTCGGCTAGACGGGCCGCTGCTGCTGCTCCCATCATCTTCATCACCAACACCTTCATCCAATTAACAGGCTTGTTGAAACAAGTTCTGGTTTGGAGGGAAGCACTGAACCTCATTCCGAACCTTCAATTATCAGTTATTCGTCAGTGAGAGGCGTGAGGCGGGTGTTTGTGTTTTTTACAGTGATGATGAAGCCACGATCCGTTATTAATACACAGTGGATGGAGCTTCTTACTGTAAAGACGGACCACTGCGGGACCGGGAGGCTGCTGGGTGTGTGTGTGTGTGTGTGTGTGTGTGTGTGTGTGTGAGGAAATGTTCGATCATGCCGGCAAAAAGAAAAAAAGAGAAATCCGTTCACGTGTGTCTCTCAGCTTGCAGCACGTCGCTGCAGCCGAGGAGCAACTTCCAGAAGCCATGCAGCTCCAACTTGTCACACAGCCGCAGAGGGATTTAGGTTTGGGACGAACTTATCTCATTTCTGTCTCTCATTTTGAAAAATGTGCAGAAAAGCTGTACCTGTGGTTGCATATGGAGGCAGCATGTGCCATAACCAGGCAGGCACGAGGCATATTCAAGCCACTGCTTCCAGAACAATGTCTGCATGTGAGCTGTGTGTAGCCTCACAGCAAACATTTCAGCATTTCCAAGTGATTCTGTGGCATGATTAGTGCGATTATCTTCAGCAGGGAGGCATGCAAACGGTATTGATGGGGACAGAAGCCAAGAGGAGAGGCAGGCAGGCAGACAGACAGACAGACAGACAGACGGCGACTTAACAGGCTATGGAGTGATTTGCAGTCAGTCTCAGCTGTATGAGGATGTGGAAGGAGGAGAGCATGAGGCTTAGAGGACTAGTCTGCTGTGTGTGCCTGATGATTACATTAAAGGTTATTGTCATCCCAGGAGGGACGACATTAACCCTCCTCACTCCTGCATCTGACTATGAACGGCTGAGTTTACGTGTTTGCCACTTTGGACGTTGCTCAACTGTTTCCTGCAGCTCGCTCTCCTCCACTCCTTTGACGTCACCCAGCTCCATACAAAATGTTTTCTCAGTTGACGTGTTTGCTCCTCGAGCAGGAATGCAATTTCACTTTGATCAAAATACCCTCATCGCCTTCCTTTATCCCCAGCCAAAATGACATTTCACAAAATGTCATTTCGTCCGTGTTACACGGTTCCTCTCTCGCACAAGGAGGCATAATTGTAGTTGTTAAGCGAAGCTTTTCGGCAGTGCGGACCTGTCAGCATCGTGCTGCATTTGGCAGGAGAAGCCTTGAAAGGTTATACAAGTGTGTCGTGTTGTCAGCTCAGTGTGCTTGTTTCTTCCTTCTGCTGCACAAACAGCACAAAAAAAAGGTTGTGAGCGGGGAAAAGATGTGAGGAGAGAGTTACCCAACTGTTACTGCCAATCACACGTGTTCAGCCATGAATGGGGCCATCCATTAGAACCAGCAGAACTCTGCCACAGAACATTCAAAGACTTCACCCAAAGTCATGGGTTTTGAGAAATCTTCAAGGTGAAGACATGGTGCGCCTCAGCTCCGATCAAGCTGTGGTTTAGCAGTTTTCAGAATGAGTCCTGGTCGCCTTGTCACGGGCCAACGCTGCCGTTCTTCTGTGTGATGCTCAGCTGGATGAGTCAAAAAGATTCTCACGACTCCCCGTCTCCTCACACCTATGAGACGGTTTATTAGCTTCATTCAGAAATCCTGCTTTACAGGCTCAGACGCATGCAGCCAGAACACTTCTCCTGATACACCACCTTCAGTTGTGCTGTATTTGCAGAAATGAGAGAGACCATGTTGTTGTTTTTGCTCCTCTAATGAGATGCCAAGTGATTTATTTATGAATTACTTGTTTGGAACAGCCCCCTTGTGCAGTGTGCATTTTTTTTTATCCTCTTTGGAGTCATGTCGCTCAGTGATTGCTGATGCAACTCTTTGTCATCCAGAGTTTGCCCTCACCTCCTGTGAGCCTTCGGGGAGGGCTATATCTATCTTGGCATGTCCCCGGGTGTGTTGGAGGTGGGAGTGACTCATTAAGCAGGTGTGAGCATCCACTCCCATACTGCTACATGCCAAACAAGAGCTCTCCAGCTCATAAGCTCGTGCAGGGAAGAATCATGAAGGCAATATAGCAAACACATCACAATAAATCTTTGCACTGGACCGGGGCCAAGGCACAGGATAATGAGCTGCTATTCCTCCATTATGCTCACTCTGGTGTTCATCAGAGGTGGAATTTCCAAAACGTTCATCACCCATTGAAAGGTTATGCCTCCACTGACATCTGTATCTGGATTCTGGATTACAAAGGGAACAAATTGTTCCCAGTTACTTCCAGATGAGGGGGAACAGAGTAACGAGGTAACGAGGAGGCTCTGTGTATCTCATGTCGAGAGCTTTGTGTAGCTGACATTTGGTCATACCAACCTGTGAGCGCTGCTTACTACACTGCAGAGCACTTGCAGGGGAGGCATCCATCTGCTGTGGAGATGGCTCACTTTTTAAAAAAGCGAGCAGGAGCAGAGTTGTTGTCCACATCTATGTCAGCCTCCACGTCAAGCAAAACTCTGAGCTCCTGTTCTGGAGCTGTAGCCTGTATAATATAACAGAAAGAGTGAACATGACACATCAGGCGCACCTTAGATAGGAAGCCTGAGAGTCTTCCTGGGAGATAAACTGGTGAGAAACATTCAGAACCGTACACTGGAGGCTCAAATGCTTCAGCTCCTTTTTGATATAATCCACCCAATCTGCTCAGTATCTGCAGACCTCCACAAGAAATGCTTATTTATAATTCTCTGAATATCTAATTTTACACAAATAGGCCATCTCTAAATGGCACGCAGTGTATCACGACTTGGTGGAGACGTGCTGTTACGCAAAACCTTCTTAGGAAGAAAAAAAAAGAAAAAAAGATATGCCACCTCTTTAGCAAAATACGGAAGAGGAGAGGCTCGGCTTGTGCTTTGTAGCTTCATGTTGTCAGACATGCTGGTGTGGATGCAGGTCTGCACGGAATGCGGACCAGCAAAACAAAAAAGCCCACAATGCAGAGTGAGGGCGCATTAGCAGTCCGCCTCGGGCTGTTTAAACAGGCGACCAGTCAGCCAGCGGCGCGGTCACATGTTGCAGCGTCATTGTGTAGTAAAGTTACTGTAGTTGCAAAGAGGCTCCTCATTTCAGCTCCAGAGGTCTCCCATCCCGTGGTGCTGCTTGCTTGGTGCTGCGGCGGCGGCGGCGGCGTTTTCAGCATGCGACAACCTGAGGTTCAGACGATCTCCAAAGGAGCCGCGCAGCCATGGGAGTGCATTACCTCAGCCATGCAATTTCCACCATCAATAATTTAATCTATTTGCTCCAAAGCTGAAGAGATATCCTGAAGCTTGTTCGGGAGAGTACACACCAGAGAGAGAGAGAGAGAGAGAGAGAGAGAGAGAAAGAAAAGAGAAAGAAAAGAGAGAGAGAGAGAAATATCTTGTAAAGTAGCTCAGTGAGGGAGTTGTCCAAACATCCCAGATGACACCACTGTCCTGTTGAATGGTCTGTTTTACGACTGGGCAGTGAAAGGTATGTGTCTGCTCGTGTTTTCACTCACTTTGCTTTGTTTGATGCAGCTTTGAGAGAAAGAAGACAGCTGGTGTGTGTGTGTGTGTGTGTGTGTGTGTGTGTGTGTGTGGGGGGGGAGGTGGAGGGAGGGAGGGAGGAGTGGAGGGGGGTCTAAAAGTAGCTCGATCAAGTCCGGTTCTCCTGCGAACAGACAGCGCGCAGGCCGAGAGGGGCCGTGTGTAACCGGATCCGCGCGTTCATTAATAAAAAACGCAGTTATTATGTTGATTGGGTTTCCAGTGCAGAGCAGCGGGGCTCAGCAGATGTAATCTGGAGAAAAAAGAGCGAGAGGCAGAGATACTGGAGCAGCTCTGAGCAGTTTGGTTATTAGCAGCTGTTTCTCCAAAGTGGACACAATCCACAGAGGCGGTTTGTTTGTTTGTTTGTTTGTTTGTTTGTTTGTTTGTTTGTTTGGTGGGTGGAGAGGTGGAGGGGGGCTTGTGCGCCAACTTTACGCGCGCAAACCGCGCAGTAAGCTCTTATTTCTTTAGTGTTTTTCTTTTTTTTTTATTCTGCATGGCCTCCTCCACCTTGAGCCAACAAATACAGACAACACTCCAGACAGTTTCTTTTTTTCGTAGCCTTGTGTTTTGGAGGGGAAAAAACTTTGATGAACTCATTAAGACTTTATAGGAAACCCGAGACCTAAACGCCCAGCTTCGGCGGCCAACATACACGGTTGGGTCTATTTCTCGGTGCTGCGTGCTCGTGCTGGATACGTTCTCAGAAATAAACACGGATTAAAAGTAAGCCTGGTTTATAGAGTGGTGGAAAACTGGCTCATTTGTGACAGTTTCATGTGAAAATATCTTGTTCAGTCATCATAGGAGCCGGTTGGGTGATGGTTTAATGATGAATTAATGATGTACTTTCCAAAAAATGCAAATTAGAGCCACATTTTTTGGTCAGAGCTGTGAATAAATAGCATAAAAGTGAACTTTATAGACTATATAGTACAATTACGCACAACAAAATGTGGTTGTGCGCCCTGGAAAAAGACAATGCCTTTGTCTTTTCTATCTATCTATCTATCTATCTATCTATCTATCTATCTATCTATCTATCTATCTATCTATCTATCTATCTATCGTGTTTCACAGGAGGGAGGGAAACAGAAGGGAGGAAGGTGGAGGAAGAGAGGCGCTCTTTCTATTTTACGGTCTCATACGCCATCTAGTGCGCAAAGTTGGGAACTGCAGCGTCTGCAGGTAGTGGTTAGGTTTCAGTGGTGATTCATGGGTTAAAAATGAACTATGGATTTCTTCATTAAGCTTACACCAAGAAACCAAGAGGAGCATGAACACTGATAAAGTGGAGTTTTGCACCTTTAAGGACGCTGAGCCAGTTTCCATCCTGTCCCACTATGCTGCTGCTGCTGCTGCTGCTGCTGCTGCTGCTAATGTCTCCTTTGAGTTGCCCAACGCTGCACACGGTGTGGGAGGGAGGCAGCCACTCATTTGGGTAGCATAAATCACTCAGCAGGTATTTGAATGCTGGGCTTTCTGTGGCAGGGGCTGGGGTTGGCCTGGAGGCCAGCTATAATCCTGAGGGATGCTCATCTATTACTAAATGCGCTCTGAAGCTGTGTCAGATTGAAAACAGATCTCAAGGAAGCAAGCTCTCACATGTGTCAGCCATTACTGCAGACAACTCAGTTAGGTCTAAATGCCTTTTTTAAATGCTGCATTGTGGCACACAAGGGGTCCTCGTGTCGACATTTAGATACTATTCGCGGAGCGTTTTCCTTCCTCCCCCTCCACGCTGAACATTTGGCATTGTGCGCTTTACATGTTGAACGTGACAAAACACGTTGCTAGGTAAATAGCTCTGGCCGGCACGTTCTTGAGGAACCGAACAAAGACGGATGCCCACGAGGGAGCAGCGGTAGAGGCAGAGAACAAATGCTGCTGTAGGTCACACGTTTCCATTCAGATGTAGTGGGCACGCTTGGCTCTTCCATCCTCCTGTTGGGTGTTTGTGCTGCCCTGTCATGGCTTCTAAGACACCATGCGTGCTGCCGGCTTTGAGATGAAGCCATAAAGTGTGCTGACATGTGCGGGGAGGCTGAATGTGTAATAATACTGGCCATGCTAGTCCTTTCATGCTTTAGAGAAACTTTTCAGCATCTGTCAGAGGAGGCATTTATCACTTTAATCCCCACCTGGCACAAAGAATAAATGCGAGGCTAAGTTACATATCCCTGCCATACAGCCGCGCTCTCAAAGCAGATGAACAGGTGGTCATCTGGACACGTCAGAGCCAAACAGGAGACAGAGTCCACACACTCACCTGCTCCTATTGTTCGGGGTGTTTCATGCTCTCGGCGTGCTGTCATGAATAAAGGCCTGTTTGAGCAGCAGTTATTGCAGCTTTATGTATCCACGCTATTAGCTCAGCCGGTCATGTTTAGATGAAACTCGAGTGTCTTGTCGTGGATTTCATTTCAATTTTTTGCGTTTCGAAACAACTCCAGGTGGAAGAAACTGCGCTTTAACCGAACGAGTTGGCTCCGAAAAGCCTCCGCATGTAGCTCCTGTCTTTGCTTTTTTATTCACACTCATTATGTTAACACTCCAGCCACTTCTTCATTAACTGTGAAATCCACATAACATCTCCCTTCGCTGGATGTAGAAAGCAGGAGCAAACCAATCAGTTGTCACATTTAGCCCCTAGCAGATATAAGCCGGAGATTCTCCGCCAGTCCCACAGCAATTAAATGATTCATTGGCTTTATCGCATTTTAACAGGATGTTGATTGAGAGCATAAGCCATATTGATTGTCCTGATGGAAACAGGAAATCACAGAGATAGAAATAAAATCATGTGTTGTTCCCGGTGTGAGGATACCCGGGGGAACGGCATGCAATTGCACGCTGTTGAGTGGCATTACCCCCAGCAACCTCCTCCCCTCCATCCTCTCCCCTATGGAGACCTGGAAGAGACGTCATCTGTGGTTGTTATGCTGCGAAATGACGCTGGCACTCTCTCCACCCCCTGCTACTGCAATATTACCCCTGTGGTCTGTTACGGAAGATGCAGCACTCTTCGTCTGCACCATTTCCAGCATGAAGTTTGACGCCTAACAGTAATCAGCCCTCTGCCTTCATTTCCCTCATGTGGAAGTGGAACCATTTGAGCGCGATGCTGATAATAATATCAGCCTAAATGCTTCCTACACATAAAGCTCGTGACTGGCCTCAATCCCGTAAAACCTACGAGCTTTTCCCGGTGCTGGGAAGCCTGACAGAAAACATTCCTGTTATTGAAACCTTTAACAGCGCTGGAGGACCATTCAGCTCGACAGGAAGGGCTTTTAATTTTTATTTTTTAATTAACATTCAAAGGAAACGTGATCATTAGCTCTTTGTGCTCGGCTTTGTCCTCATTGTTGTTTTAGTTGGAGAGAGGAAAAATACCCCCGTCTCCCTGCACACACACCCAGGGCAGCCCCTCCCCACGCCTCCTCCACACACTCACACCGAGTGGAGGAGGACGTCACCGAGCTCGGGGAGCCAGTGGCTCATTAAGAAGAAGGATGTGATATTCTGAATAGAGACTCCCAGCACGGCTATTTTTAGCCCACATATCTCTATGGCAGTCACCGTGGTGTCGGTTAATTGCAGCCACAGCCCCAGATACCAATTAAGAATAAAACAAATGCTTTTAAGGTGGGGTTTCGCTCCTCCCTACTCTAAAGGTCCTCGTGTCCATTCTGAGTGGAGGCAGGGGTGTTTTTGCTCGCCGTGTTTTCCTGTGTCAGGTCGGGACATGCAGAGAGCAGCCACAGCCTCGGCCAGGCTATTTTTAAATGAGCCCCTGTGGAAAGCAAGATCTAGATGTTTGGGGTTTTTTTCATTATGGTTGCTTTTATATCCGTTGGACGTCCACCAATTTTATTGATTTGCTGTGAATCTTAGAGCTTCTCAGAGGTAAGGGATGCATATGTGCTGAGGCAATCTGATGATGAAGGCTGTGTGTGCAGTGTGTCGGCTCCACCTGGCTCCCCGCCGCTCTTCCTTCGCCCTGACAGGGCTTCGCTTGTCTTTTCTGAGTTGCTCTCCAGAGCCTCGAGATTGGTGCCGTGCAGGGAGGATGACACATCTTTCTGTCACACAGTTTCCTCTTGACATCCTGTTAATTCATCCTGCAGTGCTCTCGCCGTCCACCTGCCAAAGAACAAACAGCGTCCCTGAACAAATCCCCGGTTTCCTGGTCATGACTGGAGAGTTTCAGCGTCAGACCTGTCTTACAGCACGGACCAGTTTTTTGTTTTTTTTTAAATAAATCAAACTGCAGTGACGGTGTTTGGCGGCGCTGACACAAACACAACATCTGCCACTCGGTCGGGTAGGGAGCTCCGCTCAGGTCGCAGCCTCCAGAGGTGTCGATACGGGTGAAAGATAATACGTGAAGCCGTCAAACATCGGTCGGTTCATAACGGACCCTGACACGGCTGAAGCCAAAAATGCTCCATCAGTTTTATTTAATATATATATCTTAAAATAGCTAACTTTTCACGTACACACCAATATAAAAATCCACCATTTGTGTCGCTTTTAAAACTGACAAGACCGTTGATGAGACACTCAGGCGTGAGCGGCAGCTTTGGCCGCTATAAACGTGCACATCGCTGCACACGCTGGACAGAAACCGTGCAGTCAGAAAGCAAGAGCTCGTGAATAACAGCAGGTCTTTAAGGATGTTCTGACGTCTATTTGTGTCATCTGGTCTTTTGTAATAAGCAGTCTCTCTGATGCTCAGCACAGCTTTTGTGCATTGCTGCCAGCAAATGGAAATCTAAGCCAGACCTCACATAGGAACAGAATGATTACAGTTTGCAAACAGTTTGACAACACTGATGACACAGTGCCAATATCAGTTTAATAAAAACATGTTGTGATTATTCCAAAGCTACTGGCTCTCTTTTTGGCTCGCAAACAAAGAGTGGAGGGTGTTAGAGGGGGGAGAGGCTCACGGGGTGCATCCTGGGTCAAGAATAAGCTAACTTTGTTGGAGATGCCCTTTGACTAACCGTCTCGTCCTCTCCCCTCCTTTCCTCTTGTTTTTCTTGTCTCTCCTTCTCCCCCTCCAGTTCCACCAGGTTAGAAGAGTGATGACCATCCTGTTCCTTACTATGGTTATTTCATACTTCAGTTGCATGAGAGCTGCGCCCCTGAGAGATGCCCCGGGCATGCGGGGCCATCGGACGGACGGCTACCTGGGCGCTGCTGCGACGGCCGCCCGAGGCCACGGGACTCCACAGAGCGGCGGCGGGCCGGGCCAGCGCGGGGAGCTGCCCTCGCTCACAGACACGTTTGAGCAGGTGATAGAGGAGCTGCTGGAGGTGGAGGGCGAGGCGGCGCAGCTGGGACAGGGGGCTGATAAGAGCCAGGGAGGTGGGGGCCCGTCGTCTGTGGTCGCCTCAGAGACCAAGGACGTCGACCTGTACGACTCGCGGGTGATGATCAGCAACCAAGTGCCTTTGGAGCCGCCGTTGCTCTTTCTTCTGGAGGAATACAAAAACTACCTGGATGCTGCTAACATGTCCATGAGGGTGCGGCGACACTCCGATCCCTCGCGACGCGGAGAGCTCAGTGTGTGTGACAGTATTAGCCAGTGGGTGACAGCTGTGGATAAAAAGACGGCAATAGACATGTCTGGGCAGACAGTTACCGTCATGGAAAAGGTCCCTGTCCCCAATGGCCAACTGAAGCAATACTTTTACGAGACCAAATGCAACCCCATCGGGTACACAAAGGAGGGCTGCAGAGGAATAGACAAGCGGCATTATAATTCCCAATGCAGGACAACCCAGTCCTACGTGCGAGCACTTACCATGGATAGCAAAAAGAAGATTGGCTGGCGGTTTATAAGGATAGACACTTCCTGTGTATGCACATTGACCATTAAAAGAGGGAGATAGTGTATAAAATGTATAGATTTTATTGAAGAGTTTAAAAAAGAGAATAAAGAGAAAATATCTATTTGTATATATACATAACAGGGTAAATTATTCCGTCAAATGAAAATTTTATGGACTGCATGTAAAAAAAGATGAAGTTTATACAGTAAAGTGATACTACAGTCTATTTATTGAACATATTCATGACCTTGTAAACAATTAAAAAAAATCTGATCAGTCATTTGCGCCCAGTTTAAATTACTATATCACATTCCTCAAGACATTGTGATTTGTTTACGTTGCCAAGAATTAGAAAATGAAGGAAGAAAAAAAAAACCAACACAGGCAAGGAATGAGAGAGGACCGTTCCATCTTCAAAAGCTTGCATGCTGCTTCAATTGTGAATCCAGAAATTCTCCACCTACAAAAAAGGATATGATGCTGACCAAAAAACATTCCGTTTACATACTATTCAGCAGAAAACAATTTCCTCTCCAGTAATTTATCTGTTTACTGTTCTAAACTTCTCAAGGTAATGTTGGATTACATACTATGTCAAGGTGCTGTTGTCAAAGCTTTGCTGTTTATTTTTTTATCCCCACCAGAGGACAAGATCTATATAAAAAATTATATAAATATATATATATATATCTATATATATATAAAATTTATTCATTGACATGTTTCTGGGTTAATATTATTCATTTTGTATGTTGTGAAGTTGTTTGCAATATTAAACTGAAATATTTGAAGAAATAAAAATGACTATAGGCAACTGAAAAACAAAATCAATGTCGATAAAGTTTCAACAGTGCATTTTTAGGCAGGATAAACTTTATTGTCCCGACAGGCAGGCAGGCACATACGCACACACGCATGCCCACAAGCTGCCACGTTTGGAAACATAAAAGCACAAAAAATGAACAACAGGGAACGTCTCGGTACCGGTGGAGGTGTTTCACATTTTTACAGGCTGCAGGAAAACAACATGTTTTCAGTAGCAGAGCAGAAGGCAAAGATTCCAGCGCTGTGGGTGGGAAGAACACGTATCTGCAGAGGGGAAAAAGTGGAAAAATGCTCCTAAACCACTTCCTGCTCCCCACCAGCACATTACTGGAATACAAATTTATGTGCTTTGATTCTTTGGTGTTTAGAGATTTACTTAATTATTACTCCAGCTGCACATGTTTTATTTCACAATTACAAGAACTTAACATCAGAAGAAAAGCACCCACACGTTCAAGTGCAGACTCGTACAAGCGGGACTCGGGTAGAGCATGCCCGAGTTTGACATTGATGGATTCAGCCACCCATACATTTGTGTGCATCAAAAATATACACCCAGCATTTTGTTATGAGTGCGCGGTAATCCCCATCTTTAACATGCTCAACAAAAGAGCCGTCATCACAGACTGCATGCAGCTGTACGTTCACTGTGATCAGAAGGGAAAAGCCATTCTCTGTAACTGGTTTGGCATCTGGGTTAAAAGACTGCTGCGGCTTTAAATCAATATTCCCTCCAGCAGATAATACCTCTGCATTACACGCTTGCCAAGTCTAGACGCCATAGTTTAAGGTCGTCGTAGGATAACGAAAAAAATGTGCTCAGCTTTTCATCGCAACATCCTCAAACATTTCCACACGAACCCGTAATACGACATATTTCAGATGTGAGAAGATGTGTGAAAACACACACACACACACACACAGCTTCATCAAATGTCCCGAACACACGCTCTGGTGGTGCTCATTTTACTTCTTCTTCATCGACCTGAAGGTAAGTGCGGCTCTGAAGACAAGCACGTCCGGCAGAATGAAGCTTTTCATCCTGAAAAGACGCACCACCTTGTTGTACCTGGATCCTCTAAAGAGGCCTGATGAAGACGCTGAAGATACTGTGAGTCACTTTTGTCATAAAAAAGAAGAGGAAGAAGAAAAAAACAGAATAAGGATAAGTAGAAAGTCTCAAATGTTCCAGTGTCATAAATATCCAACAATAACTATTCAGGTTTCCGATCATGGTCAAACAAACCATGCAAAAAAATAAAAATAAAATCCATGATCTATGCAATCACATTCAAAAACAGACAGTTGTTCCCTGAAGGAAACTCCACCTTAAGACACAAGTGATGTAGTAAAAGTCAAGCACCAACACATCCTCAGCATCCAGGAAAATGAATCAAACATTCTGGGATGCATTTCAGTGAACGTATCCTGAACCGCTCCATGTACAACGAGCAGCAGCCCGGGGCTATTTTTTGCTTCAACAAAGATTTAGTAACAGAAAAGCACCATCTGCCAATCACACACTTAATAAAGGAATGGATAGAGACTGCCTGGATGCACCAGGTGTCTTGTTTGCAGAAAAGCTCGGCCAATATTTTCTACCAGGATCATAAATCAGATCTGAAAACATAATGTGTGGGTTTTTGACCCAGAGTTGTAGCTGAAGGAAAGAAAAACAATTCGTTTCTGTTCAAACAATGGCTCCATTGTATCCAAACACAAACACACAAACTAGCGTGCGAGTGTTGTGCCTCTGCTGCACCCATCGCTGATGTCACATCAGCTGTCAAATGGCTGCTGCTCCATCACTGGTTGGGGTGTGGTCAGAGGTGAATCATGCTCCCAAGTTTCAGCCCCACAGAGAGCAGTGCAGCAGCAGCTCCTCTGCAGCTTTAGCACCACCACATATTCTGCAGTCAACCAGTGGGGGGCAGGAGAGAGGCCATCCCTCCCAGGTGTCAACAAAAGCCCAAATGAGGCCCCTCCGGCTGGCAGCTGTTACCTTCTCACAGCTCCTTTTTAGTTATATCTTTAGAGATTGGTAGAGCTGTTAAACAACTAACTAACTAACTCAGTAACGAACCCTCAGATGACTGCTGATTGTGTCAGCTGCTGAACAGTTATATGGGCTTTAGATCACAGTGTGCGCTTTTCATCTGGATTCCAGCAATGAGGCCTCCACTGGGCGAAGCACCAAGCAGCAGAGCACGCCAGCAGTAAACACTGCAAACACCCACTATGACATTTAAATCTGATTTAGAGCCACATTTAGAGCTACAATCAACCCACAAATATGCACAACGGCACGAAAGGTGTAACAGTGGAAATGACTTCTATTGCCCACCACACTGAGCCAGGGGTGACACTGACACACCTCGTGGATATGAAGGATGTATGACTTTGGCAAATGTGTACAAAAGGATGAATTATTAAATAAACCCTCTGTCTGGTTTTGAATGCAGAGTAATGTTTTTAGAGAAAACTATTTAAATTAGTCATTGACTCTCAATGGATGACAGTTCTGGCTTACGAACATCTATTTATTTATTTGGCCCACGAACATGTCGTACCAAGAACCGAACATCCTGACCTCGCTGGTTCCTCCACTTTACGAGGTTTCCTGAACGCACCATGACACTGGCAGCTAGCCTAGCCGGCTAACTTGGCTAATCTGATTTATCGCCTCAGTTAAGCGCACGAAACGTTCGCCAGGATTACCAAATTTAGTTAACCATATCTTCCTTTTAACGCGATATCGACCCAACATCAAATAGCTCCTTATTTCAAGAATGGCATCACTCGGGGAGCCCGTGCGGCTGGAAAGAGGTAAAGTTAATTAGCTAGCTAGCTTTAGCTTATAAAGATTTGTTGTGATACGGGGGAGACGTTACCGACAGTAGCTTAGCTAGCATTAGCTGAATGCAGCTCGGGCTTGTTTTTCACTGCATACGTCGTTGTTTGGTCGGATAACGTTGAATTGACGAATTCTTGCGGATAGCACATCTTTAATTAGGCGTTTTTTCTTGGCACCAAGCTGAAGACACCGCAGTCTTTGCGGCTACATTGTTTTTACTTTGCACATTAGCTAACGAGCTAATATGAATGACAACAGACAGTCATCAGCTAACCTAGCAGGTTTGTTTAGTCTATGTTACAATTAAAATAGACTTATTGGTTACACTAGCTTTACCACTTTTAATAGAAAAAGGAGATTTGTTATTTTAAAGACTTATTTTCAACCTCAGACTTCCTTTTTTTGACAGAATTAGCTGGTAACACACTTGTCGGACAGTAGCGACAATCCAGGTTTTCTTTTTAACCTCCACCCAGAATAATAACTTATCCTGAAGATATACACAAGTAAGAACGCTTTATCTGAAGCTGTGTTTCGGTAATGGGCAGACTGAAATGCTGAGCCAAGTTTTTGCTAATTATGTGATTAGCATCGGCTACAGTAGCAGCTAGCACCCTATAGCAGGAGGAGCAAACAGTGAACACAGCAGTCTGTCAGAGCAGCAGATGCTCGGTGTTAGTCTCCATGAAGGGAATAATATGCATGCAGCAAAAAATGATTCAACAAAAGAGTCTGAATGCAACTGAGCAACACCTGTCCTCCTAAGCCTAACCCTGAGAGGGATGAGTGGAAGTCGCTGTGTTGTGATGTCTGCTGGTGGACGGTGCTGTGCTGCAATACAACATGTCCTGAACACAACATATGAGTATCAGAAGTAATGGAGAGCAATTCAACGTAAAGTCAGTCTGAAACAATGACAACATCTGCTCAGCTTGCCAATAATGTCTTTCTGTTTAGTTTTCTATTGGTACAGACATGGACCCAGGCAGTGGTCGGTGCTCGTCTGAACATCTTCATGGTGGTGCATATGTTCTCGTTGTCAGATATCAACCGTGCTATTGAACTGCTTGACAAGCTCCAGCGGACGGGCGAAGTGCCTCCCCAGAAGCTGCAGGCGCTGCAGAGGGTCCTACAGAGCGAATTCTGTAACGCTGTCAGAGAAGTAAGACAAGTGGTCCTCGAGACACATAACTGTGAGCTGGTTCACGTCTCTCCTCCTCCTGATCCTAAACTTGGTTTGCTTTCTTTGTCTTTATGTCTTTTCAGGTTTATGAACATGTGTATGAAACGGTGGACATCAACAGCACTCCTGAGGTCAGGGCCAACGCCACAGCCAAGGTAGACCCATGTCAGCTTCTACCTAATGCACAGACCCTCTACTTGGACGCCTCATGTTGTGTGTTGAGTGCAGAAGATGCAGCATATGTTGGGCCTAACCCTCACAACTCCACTTGTTTATGTGTAGGCTACCGTGGCGGCTTTTGCAGCAAGTGAGGGACACTCACACCCTCGTGTCGTGGAGCTGCCCAAGACAGAGGAAGGCTTGGGATTCAACATCATGGGGGGAAAGGAGCAAAACTCGCCTATCTACATCTCACGGATCATCCCTGGAGGCATCGCTGACCGACATGGAGGCCTGAAGAGAGGCGACCAGCTGCTCTCTGTTAACGGGGTGGTACGTTCAACTCACAGCATCTCCACTTGCTTCAGGAGGGTAAATCTGAAGCATAGCGCGCTTCAGTCAGTGAGCATGTGCACGCTTAATTTATAGTACGAAAGTAAATTAACCGCTGCTGCAAACAGACAGTTAATAATGAGGGTTTGCCAAATGCTAATGCGTTGAACTTAAAAAAACAAAAAACAAAGAGAATCATGGCGTGTGCATCTACTTGTAAAATCCTTCTGTGTTAACTTTTTACAATTAAACTGACTCGTTTTGAGCTGTAAGCCAGATCAGGAATGATCATGTTTCAGAACTGATCAATTAAAGGACTCTTCAGACCCTGTGCTCACCTACAACAACAACAACGGGCTTCTCTTTGTCGGTGGCTGAAGATCTGGACATGCAGCTTTCCACTGTCGTGTAAGCAAACGTGTGCGATACTGGATGTGGACAGGGTGCTCCGGATGGCGTTCCTAATGCTTCGGTTCATCAATAACAGCTCAGCAGCATAACCATTAAAGACCACTCACCAGGAAGGTCTTCTCCAGCTGAGCTCTTCTGCGCTCTGCAGCCTGATCAGTGTAGAACTGATGCCCTGCATCCTAAGTGCCTGATGGAAAGGGAAGTCAGAGACGTTTGTAATCGTGGCCCCTGACTGGAACCGGGCCTGACCAGGCTGTCTGAGATACTGTGGTTAGTCTCAACAACCTCTCCATCGTCAGGGCTTGACTCGACTGGTCAGTCAGCTGAGGAGAGTCGCTGAACACCGACTCTGCCCAAACGTTTTTGACAGCATAACCCACTGATGGACTTTAGTGTGTATGTCGTACAGCGGCCTCGGTCCCGAGACCATCAGTGTGGACAAAAACAAATCACTTGGATGGGAAAGTCCAGGAGCCATTTCTCTTCAGAGGGACACCCATGCAGTGTACGTGGTGTGTACGAGTTAGAGCAGCAGTCAGTTTACAGTCGAGTTTCATCAGTGTGATGAATTACTGACAGACTGTAAACCTGTTTTAAGAATGTGGGTTTATCCAGCAGCGTCCAGACGCCCACAGACAGGATGTGAGCCACTCGACCTCCTGTCCACCGTTAGCGTTTGTTTCCAGCATCAGATACACTGAGTGCACTCATCATCAGTGGTTTAGGAAGATGTTCTGCTGCTGAACCTGACCTCGTTTAGATGTTAGTGGAGGAAACGGTGAGCACAAAAGCCGTGTACATTCACTCTAACGTTTGATTAGTCCACCAGTGTTGGGGTCCCATGAGGAGGCCACTGTGCCTGTTTTCACCACAAGTCCTGTCAGTGTTTCTGCTGCTGCCTCTCCAGAGCAAAGAGCTGGCAGCTGAACCACAGCTTGCAGCTTTATTTTGATCATGTGGCCTCCAAGGAGGACAACGGCTTCTCCAGAAGTCAGGCAACAGAGAAATACTGAGTTGGATGAAACTTTAGAGAAGACACGTTATCAAGATCTCTCATTTATCGGCAACAGATCTGAGTGAGTTGTCCATGTGCTCATGATCATGATGTTTGAACCTGGATAGATCACAAATAGAGGCAGGAGCTGATAAACAATGACCGTTTGTTAGTTCAGAGATTTTCAGCTGCTCAGCAATCAGAACACAGAACCCTGGATGCACCCTGTGGTGGTTCTGGCCTCCTGACCGTGCTGCGGCGCCAGCGATACGTGGCTGGTGAACGCAGAGCTTTAATGGTCTCCACTAGTAAACGGAACAAGATGGAAGCACAAGGACGTGAGAGGAAGACTTCCAGAAAGCAGCTATGGACGTAAACAATATAGGTTTCAAATTGGGTCTGAACACGTTGAAACTGCATTCAGCTCATTTACTGGGCCTTAAAGATTAGCAGGTCCAGCTGTGGTGAGAAGCAGCGTCGGTACCTGTAATGCTCTGCCACATTAGCAGGCAGCAGTTCTGAGTGGTGCTCGCTATGCTCGGGGAGGTTCCAAGACAGGCCAAAAACAATCAGCAAATTATTGCTCAGTTTGTTCTGTCATTAAAACGTCAGCCGGCTGCCAACGCTGGAACACGTTCACTGCAACACCTATGAAATGCTGCAGCCTTTGTTCACTCCAGGAGCTTCAGAACTGCTGCGTGGATCCATGTGTTAACACTGTGGACCCGGTTACAGCCGGGTGTGTTTCTGCTGAAAGCTCACAGCCTGTTTCTGTGTTCTGTTCTGGTTTTGTAGAGTGTGGAAGGTGAGCACCATGAGAAAGCTGTGGAACTCCTCAAAGCAGCTCAGGGCACAGTGAAGCTGGTAGTAAGGTACACCCCCAAAGTCCTCGAGGAAATGGAGTCACGCTTTGAGAAAATGAGGTCAGCGAAGCGCCGGCAACAGAACAACTATCCCCAGTAGGACTTCACCGTGTCGATGCCCAGCTCCATGTCTCTCCTCCTCCTCCTCCAGCCTTCTGGCCATCTGTTCTGCTCTCTTTCTCATCTCCCTCCCACAAAACAACAGCATAAGTTTGGTTTTAGTTCCTGCTCACACACACTGTAGGTTTTCTGTAGCATCTGTAATGTGCACCACTGTCCCTGTACCAGACACTACAGCTCCACACCAACACTAGGATGATCATGATTGTCAGTGTGTCACACCGTGTGCATTATTTTTGAATTGACAAGTTGAATGCAACTCTGAGTACTTTTGAGACAAACTATACAACAAGTCCTTTGACTGGAAGGTAGTGTTTTTCCTGTTCTATCAGAGCCACTACCAAGTGCCTCAGGCAGACACTCTGTACTGTGTTCACCATGCTTTGGGTTCTCTTAACGGGTTCAAGTCCCGAACTGCTAATTAAATGCTTATGGCAGGAATTACTACATGCTTTGCAATGTTTTAGTCTCAAAGATCATTTGGTTTGACAGAAGCACGTGGTGATGGTATGTCAAACTCTTCCATCGTCCAAACTTCAGAAGCCGCAGGTGTATTGTTGAGGCCTCTCCACAGTCCAGAATAGGGACGCTTTGGAGGAGCTGATGACGGTTTGCGTTCGCTCAAGAGATAAGGGTTCTGTTTAATAACGGGTGGAACCGCTGAAAGGCCGCCTCAAAACACAAGCCATGGATTATCTTTATGGCTTTTCTCTAAGATTTCTATAAAAAGCCCCACAGCTACCGTACATGATGTAACGAGGTCTCAGCAGCTCCTCAACTAAACTGCTGCCACCACAGAGACTCCCACCTTCACCTGTATCTAATTAATAAAGCTTCACGGGCATTCACTCTGCTGTCTGCATGACATGAGATAGAACCTGCTCCGTTCATTGATCACCTGGTCTCAGCATAAACCCAGAATGTACCACGTGGTCCTCTGCCAGCTCCAGAAGAGAGACGTCACTCTGCTTGTTAGATGTTAGATGAAGTCAGACTAGACGTTCATCAGGCAGTCTGATGTGCTACCGTCACACCGACGCCTGATGTGAGCTTCCATCACTCCTCGTGGATGAGCTGGCAGATGTTGATGCTCTGCACAGTGTTCAGAGGATGAAGCTGGAACATGTCCTTCATCTGGACTTCCATCTTGTTTTTAACATTTTGCTTCTCAGTGTGTCTTAAAAGAAACGTTCTCTTCATTTGAGTTCTTTGATCCGTAACCGCGTCTCTAAAGGACTGGGTCAGAAACAGAACCCGGGTGCACCTAGGACCGTATGCTTTTATGATGCTGGTACTACATCCACACACGTCCACGACTTAGAGCAATAATCTGAACGTTCGTAGAGACGTTTTTCAGTGTTCACCGTAGACTGACTGACGTCTTTGTGCACACGTGGACTCGTACGTCGACGCCAACGTCCACGTCACGGTCAAATGGGAGCGACGTTTTATTACTGAATACTGCCGAACAATCCAGTTGGTTCTGATATGCATTTAAAAGCAGGCTAATGTCAGAACGGTCTCAGTGATCCGCTGAATGCACAGGTTCACGTGTACACGTACCACACGTCATGTTTTATAGGTCCACAGTGTTTGCATGTTTCACTATCGTACAGAAAAGTCCTGATGTTCTGGATCATGAATCTGAAAGAAGGAACGCTCCCCGTAGGCCCACAGGCAGCATGTACAGTCCAGCAGGTCGTGGTTGTCTTTAGAACAGACGTATGGAGAGACTTCTCCTGCTCATGTCATGAAGGGAACACATAGTTGATTTAATTATATTGTTGTGTTAGAACCCAGTCGGTCAGTCCGTGGGTCAGCGACATGTCTCCAGAACGCTTTTAGGAAATCCGTTCACAGGCGTTTATTGGTGTGATTGTAGATGAAGTGTTGTGTGTCTAGCATCACGTAGAGGAGGCTGTAGCTGACGAAGCCGTGCTCCTGTCCCGTCTCAGGATCAGCCAGCTGCATCATGACACAGTAAGGTAGCCACAGGGAACATGGCGGTGACGGTGGGTAAAGTGACAGAAACACGTGTCCGTCTCTGAACACGCTGCATCATACGTGTCCTCCAGCGTTTGTCCTCCGATGTTGAACCGTTCTTACCAAGTGAGCTCCTTTGCAGTCCGGTGGTAGATGCATGTTTCGTCAGAGTCAGTGACCATCCAGTTAAGTGTGTCATTTTCATGTCTGCATATTGTGCCAGGCCGGCGGCAGCGTGATGCCTGCGTCCAGACCCGTCCTGTTGTTGTGGCCAAGGCGTCTGAACTGAGCTGACCCTGGATCTGCCCGTGTAGCTGCTCTTCTTTGTGTTGCTTTTATTTGATGTTTTCGTGATTTTATCCACCATCTCTTACCATGCACCGAGGCCGACCGCTTCTGACATCGGCGGCGCCAGCAAACTGTAAATAGCTCATCCACTACTATGTGAGTCCACCAGTAAAAACATCTAGAATGCTCCGTGTGCTGTCAGTGATCTAGACTTGTAGACCGTTCGTCCTTAACAACAGTCACCATACATCATTAAATGCACTGAAATTCATCACCAAGTGCTAAAAACAAAGACATTATCTGTTCAAAAGGTCCCAGTGGGTAGCGCTGATGTCCGCTGACTGAGGCTTCTGTTGGTTTCATGTTTCGTCTTCATGTCGGCTCAGAGGCTGCTGTCACAGTGAATGTCAGGTTTAACTTCACTCACGTCAGTCGAGGTGTCGCTGACTTCTATCCAATCGTATGTTACTTCACGCTTTGACTATTGCAGGAGAAGCGGTTGTAGCGGCCAGCACGTGGCCCAGGTGTGTTCAGCGGCTGAAGTCCGTTACTCCTGTGAGAGATGCTGAACACAATGAAACGCACTGGTACTGCAGACGCTGAAGGGTTAACTATGCAAGGTCGGTAGAAACTTTGGAAACAATCCGTGTCGGTGCAAAATAGCTGTGGTTTTACTCCAGAATGTATAAAACAGTGGTAGTGTGGCAGCTGCATGGACGTATGTTTAACATGATGCTATAAGAGAACGTTACTGGAACATTGTCAAGCTGATCAGCATCAACAAGCTGCATCCTGACCGTGCTGTCTGGATGCAGTGCTGTGCTTCAGTACCAGACATGATGCGCTTCATAACGTTGGAATAATGCAAACATGTTTTCTTAGAATACTTTACGTAAAGTGAAGCTTCAGATGCCCGTATCACTCTCTACAGCTACCTTAGTGTGTTGTAAAATATGCATTACATATATCTACACAGCACTACGCTTTAAACGGCTAAATCACGGAGTTAAAGTCGCGCGTTGCTGGATGGGCTCGTACGGAGGCGTGGCTAGTAACAGAGCAACCCGTAGGCCACGCCCACGATGCTTTTGTTCTGAGGCAGAGCGCTTAGCAGGCGGTTGGGGGTGTACATAGACGTCTTAATATAATGTATAGTTTGTGTTTTATCCAACGTCAGCTGGCTAGAATCACTCCTCACATTTGCATCATGTATAGTAAAAGAGGACAGAAGAGACTCCACCGAATGTCACTGGCCATTGTCTCATTTAGTTGCACACTTTTTGTGAAGTCCCCTTCAACTTTCTATCCGTTTTCCTTGTCTGTATATTGGAATGGTCAATAGAGTATTTTTTATAATGTTTTTCTTTTGATATTTTCTCAATTTTTATAAGTGATTTTCCTAAAAACCAACAGCAGGAATGCTGGTACTTCCACTCTGACTGTACCAGGGCCATGTCAGCACAGCCTCTGAGGAGCAGCGCTGAGCGGAGCCCGACTCTCCTCCGGCTCCGCTCAGCGCTGCTCCTCTCAGCTCTGAACTGATCTTTTCGTTTCTTTCTAGGACCAAGACCAAACTTGCAACACTTGTGAAAATTTTGATAATGTTTTGAAGTGTGTTAGCCGCTGCTGATGTCAGCTCGATGCCTGTAGACTGTGTTGTGTTGTCATGTTGTGTTCTCTGCTTTCTGGTCTCAGTTCACTGTTACATTGATGTGGAATGTAAAATGTTGTGACGTAGAATATAATATAGTTGGACTGGAAGCCTAATAAACCGTGCTTACATTTATGAATTTTAAACATTTTGTGGAACATCTTTTAGACACGGCACATACTTCAGATCGTTTCCTCAGAACAGCGCAGGAGGAGGACGATCCCATGCTATCAGAACAAGAAGACGCTTAGAAGAAGTCCAACAACCAACCCGACACGCTCTCCTGTTGACATACACCTACACCTACATATTTCCATCACAGGTCCCACTGCTCCTCTTTCACAGTCTGTGAAAACCAGGAATCTACTTCAGGGATGAAAATTGAACGTTGTTGAGAGAATCATGGAGGTTTCAGGATAATGGATGTGGCAGCTGTTTTCTTCTAAACCCTTCATCAGCTCCGATTCCCACCCTGTGGTTGTGTGCCTCTGCCAGCCAGGTGCAGTTTCCAGCCAGGTGCAGTTTCCATCCAGGTCTTGTTTTGTCATAACTAGCGTATGACAGTGACTTCCACCACCGCGATCTAATCAGCACATCTCCAAGGGAATGTTTGTTCAGCGGGATGGGACGGAGCGCCGACCCGGCAGCGCCTCTGGCTGTGGATGGTGTAAACACACTGGTTCAGAGGTACCGCTGGCACACGCTCACCTTCGAAAACGAGAAAAGAAGGATGTATTTTCCATGAGCTCCAAACCAACACTCGCTGGCCACCGACTGTATGTGAAAATGGAGGAACCCGCTATGATGTCACCCGTAGGTTTCCTGAACAGGGGTTTGAAGCTTAGGCCCAATCCCAGCCTCCACCTGGAAGCTGAAGCACTAAACCCTCAGACTTAGCGTAACAGCACAGCTTCTAATGGGAGGAACTGGACACAAGGCATCCCCATGTTTAAAGAAAACAGGAACCTGACCTTCTCCATCTATCTGCTGTCCATCACTTGCGCTATGTGACGTTACAGTGTTTTAGCAAACTGCCAAAAGTCAGGGGAGCCATAAACGTGTATGTCCAGGGAGATGTTTGACTGAAATGACAAACAACTCTACAAATGTTCCCCCCAGCCGTCACTTTGACATGACGTAACCCTCCCTGCACCATCTCTATGTGGACTCACAGAAAGGTGCTCAAGAGCAGCAGAACGTTGTCATCAGGTGGTCTGACAGCTGGACAGCCCTGAGCCATAGTGGGACGGCTGGGCTTAGTGTGGTGGCTCTGGCTGCCGACCTCTTGTCAACGCCTGACTCCTGTTAACTCCCTGCTAGTGTAATCAGCTACTGATGAGCCAAGATGTGGAGCCTGAATGGAGCTGAGGTGGGCCAATCAGCTGTGAGTTAGGCACAACTTTAAGCCTTGATGCAGTTCAGAGAGGTGAGTTATAGGTAAAGCCCCACTTGTAGGGCCGCCATGAATGTAGAAACCAAAACCATTATTTACACTCGGCGCTAAACGTGTTTATTTCTGGTGTGACACTGGGCGTTTTACATGACGCTCTATGGTTTTTATTGTTATTTTTATTATCCATCCATCCATTTTCTATACACCGCTTAATCCTCATTAGGGTCGCGGGGGGGCTGGAGCCTATCCCAGCCGACTCAGGGTGAAGGCAGGTTCACCTGGACAGGTAACCAGTCTATCACAGGGCTACACTTAGAGACAGACAACCAAGCACACTCACATTCACACCTACGGACAATTTACAATCACCAATTAACCTCAGCATGTTTCTGGACTGTGGGAGGAAGCCGGAGAACCCGGAGAGAACCCACGCTGCACGGGGAGAACATGGAGACTCCACGCAGGAAGATCCCGGGTGTCCTCACCGGGACGCCAACCGGCGACCTTCTAGCTGTGAGGCAACAGTGCTACCAACTGCGCCACCTTGCAGCACTATTTTATTATGATATAGGGAATAACTCGTTCTTGGAGCCAACCTCAAGTGGTCATCTGAGGAACTGCAGTTTCGGACACAACAGTGGCTCGTCACACTTCAACAGTTGAATCGTTTGAAATAAAAGTTTTGGTGTCGTATCGACCGTCGCCTGGACAGCAACGTAAGCGTTTCTTTTCATAAATCTCCCCATCTTGCTAACCCTAACCCTAATAGATTGGACTGAACCACACCGGGGGCTGATTAGTGGAAATGGGGAAAGAAAACCCCTCTTCCCGTTTTCCCCTGAGTCGTGTGTGTTGGGGGATGTCCTGTAAGACGTGCTGCTTGTTTGAATGTCAGGAGGCTGCTTTTCTCATTGGATGGATTCATTCCAGTACCGTCTTGCTATGTGTAGCTTTTCAAGTCAGCAAGTGAACTTGTTTCAGCTTGTGCTCTGACAGCACTCCCACTCTGGCTGTGGTGGTGCCTGGACGGTGGTTTCACCTTCATGCATCTCGACATCCTGTAGACGTCTCAGAGCAGCTCTGTAGCAGGAGCTCAGGGTGCATCAGGGCTGTTTGCCTGGAACCAAGCAGTGCACGTGACGATTCATTAGAGCGGCTTGTTCACACTACAGCTTGAGACCAGAGCACAGCTGCTGGTTTCTCATGGTGTTGACGCCATCCCTTTGCAGACTCTCATGTGTGGATGGTTCACTTTGTCTTTTCTGGCAACTGAAATCAATCACACGCAGGAGCAAACACAGCAGCAGCAGCCGGAGCCGAGGAAGAAGCAGGAGGCCGAACTGGACCAGCAGCCAAATCAGCAGTTGCAGCAGAGACGGAAGAAGAAATTGATTCGTGTTAGTATACAGCGTAACACACACATGTGAACGCTTGGAGAAAGGAGACCATGATTGAGTTGGGCGTGAGGCAGCGGTCTGATGAAGCTCTGAGAGGTGAGTGTGTTGTTGCAGTATCACAGAATCACCAGCTTCTATCGCCAAAAGATGCCAATAAATCATGATCCAGTCTCTGCTGTGTCAGAGAAAGCTTCCTTTTGACTCAGTTATTGCTGCCAGACAGCATTTAACAACATGGAGCACAAATGATGAGGCACCAGCTCATGACAGCAGTCTGAAGGAGATGCATCACTGTTTGGAAACGGTTCGATGTTCCAACACCACACTGGGATAGTTTTTTCCTTTTTTCTTCTGGTTTGGTGCCACTTTCTACGACACACTTCAGAGGGTTAACATTTTCTTTAGAAGCTTACTTAAAGTTTGATGAATGCTTTACCAATGCTTTGTAAAGCAGTTATTCTGACAACAACATGTGCTGACTGGTCCATATGATGATCTCCACAACAAGGTTTATTGAGCACATTTAAGAGCCAAAGTGCTTCCAGTAGACAAAAATGAAAGTTCAGGCCCTACAGTGTTCTTTATGTTGTGTATTTACTGCAGTAATTTAAATATAAAGGATTAACGCTCTGAAAACTATTGAACAGAGAACTTTCCTTGACTGTGATCAATACTAACCCTTCAGTATTATTAACTACAGACACATTTATAAAGAAAGAAAAACATGAAAATCCAACAAATCCAAAGATTCCCCAGAGTCTCCTTCACAAAGCTCTGGTTTTTATTTTTCTCAGACGGATTTTAATGTGAAAGGTTTACAATGAGCAGGATGGACAGAAGGTGCTAGAACACGCTGCAGTCGCCCTCCGGGCCAGCAGGCCTCCACGCTGCCGTGTGTCTACCTTTATTTGTCCACGAAGAAGAGTGTCTAGGACCGCCTTCATCCGGGGACGCAGCTTCCTTTCTGCCCGTCTGCCCTCCGAGTGAACACGCGTCCACCCGACCAGCCCAAGTGAGTGTCTTTTCTCTTGTCCTTAGCGCAGTAGCTCCTGGGAGAAGAGCCCCAGGAGACAACAAATAAGTGAACTTTAAAGCCCAGCAGTCAGAAAGCCTCAAAGATGCAGCTCTGCGGAGTTATTTCCTGTTGCTAAGATGCTAAGCTAGCTGGTAGCACGCGCCGCCACATGGACGTGAGAGCGGCTGCTGGTCTGGTTCCAGTTTGCCAGAGCAGCTGAAGGCAGAAACCAGTAGAGATCTTGTAAATGCTAGGAGATACGGGCTCTCGTTGGCGGCTGCTGATCCGTCCGGTGTTGTAGGCCCAGACAGCACTGGTCGCTGTGGATGGAGGAGAAGGTCCATGAGTCCGGTGCCGGTCCGTCTCTGTGCTTCTGTTAGTGGACTGCTGCCATGAGTCCACGTGGAGCTGGTAGTCCATACAGTCAGAGCTTCACTCTGGATAAAGAGAGTTTCTGTGCATGTTCCTGACTTGAGTTGTTCATGAAGGACCAGAAGCTTCATCCTGGTCCTGCCAGACTGGACAGGAGCACCGGTCCAGGACTTAGAGGACATGCTGGATTTATTGTACATTGAAGTCGGTTTTAGCTTCTGCACTGTTGGAAATTGTTCTGTGCAGCAGTTGAGGAAACTTGTCAGTGTTTGAGGTATCTGTCTGACTCTTCCTTCTGTCCTGTTCCAGGATGCGTTACGTTGCTGCTTACCTGCTCGCTGCCCTGGGCGGCAACGAGAGTCCTGAGGCCAAGGACATCAAGAAGATCCTGGAGAGCGTCGGCATCGAGTCTGATGACACACGTCTGGACAAGGTAGAGCCGCCTGCTGTCGGCCTGCAGCTTCACCAGCAGCTGCTCTCCGGCCCGAATAACCTGGTGTGTCTCTCTGCAGGTCATCACTGAGCTGAAGGGCAAGAACGTGAACGAGGTGATCGCCAGCGGTGAGTGTTGCCCTGGTCAGGATGTTGGTGCCTGTTGGTGTGTAGGGATGGATTTAGTTTGTCTCCTCAGAGCTGATAGAAGGCTCTTGAACAGGTGGTTGGTGACAAACAGAAGAAGAGGTGGAAGCAGTTCAGGGATCTGAGCAGCGCTCGCTCCCAGAACTGGACTCAGCAGCAGAACTGGGACTGCCTGTTAGAAAAACATGAGATGCACAGTTTGTTGATATATTCCCAGTTTTACTGTCGGAAGTCCCAAACTACAAGGAATCGGTTGTTTTTAAGCATTAACACGTAGACCTGGTCTCTCTAAATACGATTCACAACCCATCTGTGGACAGGAACTGTGGTGGGCCGTTATTTACACCTCGTTCAAGCTGGGCAGGATTCAGGTTGCACCTTTGGGCTGGATATGAACCTTCAGGGGGAGTCATCAGCTGTGTAGCTGTACTGAAGCGTAAATGAACAAAGATGAGACCAGTAAAGACTCCATGAATCAGATTATCACGATGCAACCAAACGGCCGGATGATGTCGGATAGAGATGCTGTTCCTGCCCTCTGTCCTGTTTGACTGCTGAGTGTCCGTGTTATCACTTGAGCTTCATGTCTGCCAACTTGTGTCTCCTCAGGTTACGGTAAGCTGGCCAGCATGCCAGCAGGCGGCGCCGTAGCTGTGGCCAGCTCTGCAGCTGCTGGCTCAGGTGGAGCCGCAGCTCCTGCTGCAGGTGAGCATTGCAGCTTAGCACCTTGTTGTCAGCATCAGTGGCGCTTGGCACGCTGCCTTCACCTCGGATGTAAACAGGACGACGTGCAGCCCACGATGTTTATGCTTCACACACATAAATGATGCACATGTACATACTTACTATCCTGAACCACACGCCTACAAAATCCTGTAGGTCCAGTTTATGCTCTGAGTGGAGCATTGTGGAAAAATGTGTCGTAACTGGGATCTCTGTTGGAAGAACAGTGACTTCACATGAATCCTGCAACACGTCACAAACCCGCCGGTAACGGGACCACTTCAGTCCAGCTCATGGTCTGGGTTCCGTCAGTGACCTAAAAGCAAGTAAACGTGTCACCGTGGTGACGGCGGGAAATAATCTGAAGCGCTTGTTGTTTTGCAGCTGCTGAGGACAAGAAGAAGGAGGAGAAGAAGGAGGAGTCTGAGGAGTCCGATGACGACATGGGATTCGGCCTGTTCGACTAAACTTCTTCATCTGATGAATAAAGTTTATAAAAAAACACTCAAAGCCTTTTCTGTCTTTAATTTCTGCTGAAGGTTGTTTGCAGCGTGAGCGTTCTCGTTTTCAGGGGCAGAAAGGTGTGAGATGGTTGTGGAGGAACCGGTGACATCCCAGGATGTTAAAATCTGAAACCTGAACATTCAGTGACGGCTTCATGCACGCGCAGCGTTCTGATGACTGGTACCAACGTGATGCATGTAACAGATCCAAGTGCACAGTAGATGGCGCTGTTCACTGTTTCACTACAAAAGGGGTCCCGCTGTTGTCACTCTTCCTGATTGTTCATGGGGACAGACAGCCGCTGGTGGTGGTGGCGCCTCCGTTACTGCTACAGGTGAAGCGCTGCCGTCGGAGCTGCTCGTGCTCGTTTAAGCATCAGCTGCAGGGCCAGAAGTCAAGATGGATCGGATAGTTTGTAGACCAACATGGCGACAGGTGACATGGAGAGGAGGCACCTGTTGCTATGACAACTCATGCTGAACACCAATAGAGTTCGTCTACATGCCTCTCAGTCTGAGCCTTACACACATATTCAACCTTTCATGCACAAGCTTATTTTGAAACCAACAGATGTGTGACTCCAGAGATCAGGGCACATCTATACCACATTTAAATGTCAGCTTTGATTCATAAGAATTTCTAGGACTTCAGAAGGAGACAAACATTGCTCCAGCTCAGGACTGATAATGCGCTACGACAAGAAAGCACAAACTCTCCATAGTTAGCGTTAGTCAGGTCAGTCCGTTTCTGTAGTTCACTGGGTTCAAGGTGAACACCATGAATGTCAATGATTCTTCTTCTTTAAGCCGCTTCCTCACTTCAGGAGACCAACTTCATGTTCACCTGTTTTGCTTTTAAGTTGTTGAATTCGAGCAGCTGTTACAAAACAGTTTCCCTGATTAATCAAGTTCTTCCCACTGTATAAGGAAGCCCAGACAGCTGAGTGCAGCGCCACACGGTGGTCACACTGCTCAATAACCATCGAAGACAACAGATAAAGTTAGACCTGGATGGGTACGACTGGGTTAAAACTAACAAACAGAATTAAATCAGACTTCATTGTGTGCTCTATGTTCTAATCCAGAAGTCTAATAAGGTTCCGATTTTTATTGTTGGACCTCCAGCAGCGACAAGAGAAAGATGTGCTCCTCAGCTAACCCGGGCATATCTGCCTCACCATCCTGCAGTAGGTGCTGCAATCATTTATTAATAATAACAATAATAATTTCCTATTCTAGGCCCAACTTTCTTAACAAATACAATAAACCCTGTTTAAGTTCTTTTTACTAAAAAATTTTATTTAGAGGGCTGCAAGGTGGCTCAGTTGGTAGCACTATTGCCTCACAGCTAGAAGGTCGCCGGTTCGCGTCCCGGTGAGGGACACCCGGGATCTTCCTGCGTGGAGTCTCCATGTTCTCCCCGTGCAGCGTGGGTTCTCTCCGGGTTCTCCGGCTTCCTCCCACAGTCCAGAAACATGCTGAGGTTAATTGGTGATTGTAAATTGTCCGTAGGTGTGAATGTGAGTGTGCTTGGTTGTCTGTCTCTAAGTGTAGCCCTGTGATAGACTGGTTACCTGTCCAGGTGAACCTGCCTTCACCCTGAGTCAGCTGGGATAGGCTCCGCCCCCCATGACCCTAGTGAGGATTAAGCGGTGTGTAGACAATGGATGGATGGATGTTATTTAGCCAACTTCACGTGTTCCCCTACGTCTGAGACCAAACACTTGTAGAATAGAAAAATACTTTATTTATCCCAGTCTGGGAAATTACTGTGGTACAGCAGCAGCAAGAAAAAACACCAGTCACAACAGAAAAAGAGCTAAAGTTAAACATTTAAAAAAAAAATTCAAAATAAAAATAAGTGAATAAAATAAAACAACTGTACAAAATGTGCAAATTGAAAAAACAGTGCAAAGACAGAGAGCTGAGAAGGCTCTCTGCCAGACAGAGGTGAGGTGTTGTTCAGGGTTACTGCTCTGGGCAGGAATGATTTCCTGTAACGGTCCTTGTGACAGCGGAGCACATATTGTCCACATATTACTGAACTCACTCAGAGTAACTGCAGGAAGATGCACAACGTACCATCATCAGTAACAGTGTCCTTACAACTGGATCTGGCACTGGGTCCGTTTTCAGGACATGGTCTAAAATCTGAGGGAGAAAACCGTGGCCTGTCTTACAGCACACGTTATAAGAACTAATCCATCCATCCATCATCTATACACTGCTTAACCCTCACGAGGGTCGAGGGGGGCTGGAGCCCAACTCATATGGTGACTGTTTACCTGAAAGAACCTCATGACTACGTAGCAGACAGTGAACCAGATGTCTTTGGCATCCTGGTTAACTTGCCTTTATAGTGACAGAACAAGCTTAAATGATTAACTTTTATCACCACAGCTCCTGCTGTGTGTCAATGAGCCCGTTAGTCAGGCTCTGGTGCCGTCATGTGGCGATTACTTAATCCCCAACTTTCTAACTTTGCTAATGTCATGATAAAAAAGACACGCAGAGATGAGTCATTTCATGTTGTGAAAGCTGAGTTAGCGGATAAGTTGAAGCTGTAGAGATAGTTCGTCCTCAACTTATAAATAAACTTGATTTGTCTGTCAAGCCTCCAATACTAAAGAGTCTTTTAAAATAAATGAGCTAGTTCGAGCCGCCACTAACTTGTTTGTTTGGGGGGATTCAAATTTAATTTGCTCTTCAATTTTCTGACATGTCCTTGTCACAGAAGTCCTAAACAGGGTTCAGGTGTTTTTTCTAAAAACAAACACTTGGTTCATGAAGGACTTAGAATAGTGAAAAAAGAAAAAACTGAAAAAAAAAAACTGTCACAAGGCTCTGCATTAAAAGTTTGAAGTATTTCCAACAAGCTGTACTTTAGCGTGTACAGTGAGCACACGCCTGTGCAATAACAGCTGAATTTCAAACGATTTTTAAATCGCATTGCCTCTCAGGAATTCAGTTATTTCTAAATTGATAAGTGGAACATTTCCTTATGAACAATCAAAAACAAAAAAACTTTACAAAGAATATGCTGGGTGGGAAAAAAACAGGCCCACAAATAGAAAGTTAAGCCAACAAAGTGAAGACTGCAGTGATTCCTGAGAATCTCACTAAAACACAAACGAGTGCTGCTGAACAAAACCTTTTCTTTCTATGGGCTGTGTCTATCCGTGTCAGGGCTCCAAGTAGCAAAAAAATGCCACAGGAAGTGAAAAAACCCAATTGTGAGACTTCAAAAATGATAGCAAAGGTTTGGTGACCAACTAAAAACCAGTGGAAACACAAATCATTGCCGCCACAGTCGTCCTCCTGATAGGACACCACAGACTGTACTCGCCTTGCACAATGTCGCTCTAAAAAAACAGATGAGCAAGTGCTTTAGACTCGACGCAGCAGTTCAGTGGAATCAGTGTTCCCGGCATGTATTGCATAACATCCACATGTATGAATGCGATTCCGCTTTTGTTTGACCTCTTCAGTGCAAAACTGCAACTGAAATTTTGCAAAAGAACATGAAAAAGAAACCACCAAAATCACAGAGTTTCTAAAGAAGAAAAAGCAGGAAACTGTGGCTGATCCAGTGTCACCGGTCCTGAACCCAACAGAAACCAGTTTTAAAGAGAACGTCTCACAGCAGCAACACGACAAAGATCTGACAGGATGAGCTGGAAACACACCGGTTGTGTTCTGTGATCATGAAATGTGCTAGAGGGCTCCTTTCTGAGGGTTCTGTTATGTTCTTGGCTTCTAGGATGTGTGCTGCTGGAGGTGGACCTTCACCTGCTTTGTGCTGTTCCATAGTTCAGTTCATGGTGATATATATATTTTAGATCAGTCTCATATGTACACATACAGTCTGCTGCAGTAAACATTAGATCACAACACACTCGAGCTTTATTGTAAAACTAAATGTAGAACCTGGAGGGCAGCTTCCAGCTTGACCAACACAAACGTGGGATGAATGCAGGTTTTATGTTGCTCTCATCCTAAATGCAACATAAATGATAGACATGACTTACAGAATTATTATTCGTATTTCAATATTTGTAACGGTTTAATTATTGCCCAGTAATTTTAAATGAAGGGGCATAAGACAAAGTTATAACTTTACTATCATTTTATTGTCATTGATGTTGAAATTCTTGACTTAATCTTAAATCAGCACGTATCACGGATACTGAACCTACGGTAGCGAGGAATTCATCACAAGTTTGACTCTTAGAATTTCACATATTACAAACACTGCTCATGTTTTTGTTTAGATGCCTGGATAACCGCCCCCATGACTGGAGAAAACAGTAAAAAAAAATAATCATATTCATGTAAAATGAACACAGAATCTGATTTTTATTGTCAAAATATGACATCATCATACCTCCAAACCACTTTTTTCCAGATTTCCTCAGACCAACAAAAGCATTTCAGTGCCAGTTAAAGATGAGTAACGGCAGCATCATCCACGGACATCCCTGGAAGCTGATGACCCAGTGGTCAGGAGGGGAACGATGAAGGAGGAGACTTAATCCCCGATTTATCTGTTTGAGGTAATTTATGTGTTGAATTCAAAGTCTGATCTGATGATGTGCTAAACGGTGTCCCATAAGTGACCGGGAGCGAACATCCTTACATCTGTACTTGCTCTGTGCCCTCCAGCAGCAGTCCAGTGGTTTGCAAAGGACCAGTTCATGTCACGTGTTTTCCACTTGCCAAAGAGGGACTGGAGCCCCTTCAATGTGCCTAAGAAGACATCAGGAGGACTGATGTCATTGAGCAGGGTCATATTTTGAGATTAATTGCATTAATTACTTGTATAACAGCGCTCTACCCTGCTGGGCCGGACAGAATCAGGTGGAACTTACAGAGACTGGACACAGAACGCGGTACCTCCAGCCCGGTGCTGATCTCCAGTCAGTGGCATGAATTAGAAAAACTCACGTAAACAAGTGTACGTGCGTCACGTGCTTTGTTACTATGGTTGCTGCTCAGCCTGTACGCCCCGCCCTCTTCCTTAGTGACGTCACGGCCCATACCATCTGGCTTATGTGGGGACGCTCGGGCCACGAACTCAGACGATCCTCTCGCTAGCGGACGGTGAAGGTTACCTGCTTCAACAGTGCTTGAACGGAAACCTTTGAACTGTCTTCAGACCCCGCAAGACGGCAGCAGCCACTTCCACCGACAGCGTCCAATACTCCGACTTCACGCACGGTCAGCGTCAGCTAGCTCGGCTGTCCGACACACTTAGCTTGGAAGCTAACTGTTTGTTTTGCTAACGGGGCGCGCGGACAGCTTTGACCTCCTCTCGAGACGACCTGCCAGGAACACTGGTAAGAACACACCTGTACGTCTCGAGTCTTCGCATATGTGTGTGTCTGTGTGTAGCTTTTGGACCAGCACCGAGCTCTGCGATGGTGCTGGTCCGTGTCCAGCTAGCAGCCCTGGTTCCGTTCATCACCTTGCCGCCAGTGGGCCGTGGCGCAGTTGGCTGTCCAGACTCTGCGCAGTCTTTTCAGCGCCAGGCATGGTCCAGAACAGCCCGGGACCTCCTCAGCAGAACCGGGTTTTATATTTAGGTGTCGTCAGACCTTCCGGTGCCACACGAGTCGCCGTTAACGCGACTCTTCGAGCAGGCGAAGGAACCGCTGGACGTTTCTGGACTGGTTCTGGTTGCTGGCTCCGTGGTGAGATGCTGCCTGACAGAACAACAGGAATCCGGGCCACACCAGCTCAGGAAATGGCCGGTTGGAGCATGAAACCCGGAACCACGGCCTCCAGCTCTGGTTCTGCTTCAGACGCTCAGCAGCACACCCACAGATGGTTCTGAACCCGTCACAAGGGTCCGTGGTGTGAGGTTCGGGTTAGGGTCCGAAGCTCTCAGTTCCAGTCCCGAACATCTGTAGCTTCAGAATGGTACCGGCAGCTGTGAAAAGACTGGACTAGAATCAGAATTCTGATCAACAGAATCGCCATCGGTACCAAGTGAGGCTACACATGTCGGGATTAGTTCTGGTGCATAGCCGTGACCATGAAGTCAGGAGGCAACAGACACAGGTCCACATGAGACAACAGCATGCGCAGTGTGTGGACGGTACCGACAGTCCGTCTGGTGTTCTATGTGGGGATGAGCAGAACACGAGCCGTAGAACTGTGCATATACGGCTCGGCTCATTTTACAGCCTGAGTGGTATTGTCGGTAATCTCAAACCCAAACTCCTGTATTCAGGTTCCGATAACGCACCGCAGAGACAACGGTTCAGTTCTGTTCAGTAGAGGACTGCCGTGGCGACCCGGTCCATCTTCACGTTGTCTAAATATTCAAAGAGTACTCAGATATTTTTTCTAGATGGTAATTGTGATCTTTCCTTTTTTTCCAGAACCATGAGTTCCCAAGTGAGACAGAACTTCCATCAGGACTGCGAGGCTGCGATCAACAGGCAGATCAACCTGGAGCTGTACGCCTCCTACGTCTACCTGTCCATGGTGAGAGTCGGGCCGGTCGACCCGTGATAAGGAAGCAGAGGGTCAGCTGGACAGGAGCAGATAGTGGGACAGGGAGAAGTGGTGAATGAAGGGGAACTGTGTCTGTCTGTTGTTATGGAGAAGTGATGACAGCTGCTTATAAACAGATGGACCGTGGTTCCGTAGCTGTAGTGCTGCGTGTTCTTATCCACCATCCATGTGGTCAGTGTGCCGACAACACGCGTGTGGCCGTCTGGATGAGCAGCGTACGGCCATCACACCGTCTCCACAGCAGTATGAACTCACTACACCTGTGAGTGAGTGGATGTTAGATATCTGCTGTTTGAACGTTGTGTCGCTGAGCAATAGAACAAAGGTTGAAGTTCCCTCTGAGATGGCACACAGACAAGTGCAGAGGGTACGATGCCTCCTCCGTCGCTCACCCTCATTAAATGCTGTTCTGTTCGTTTATGGCTCATTGTAGCTGCGTGGAGGAACGAGTGCATCCACCTGTCGTGTTTCAGACACGTTGAAGCCATGTCGGCCTCACGTGAACGACTTGACGAGTTCCAGCAGCACCAACATTTCCCTCTTTGCTCCTCACAGGCATACTACTTCGACCGGGACGACCAGGCGTTGGCCAACTTCGCCAAGTTCTTCCGCGACCAGTCGCACGAGGAGCGCGAGCACGCTGAGAAGCTGATGAAACTACAGAACCAGAGGGGGGGAAGGATCTTCCTACAAGACATCAGGGTATGGGCTTTGAAAATAAATGCAGCGTAAGGTGTGTTTTAACCTCCGCCTGGGTGTGAGACTGTTCTGGGCTATCATAAGGCCCAGATAGCGAGGGCAGTGTAAGCCCGACCCGATAGAGAGGGCGTGAGTGTGCCGTGCCGCTTATCTTCTTTGGCCACGCAAACACAACCCCCGAGCTTGAGTAAAACGTTAAACTGCAAACCCGCTTCGTAGTATTCAGAAAGCCTGCTGTCTGGATCGGGTCGTTGACCTCCTGCGGCTCATGACTGAGTGTCCCATCGCTGTGTTGCAGAAGCCAGACAGGGACGAGTGGGGCAGCGGCGTCGAGGCTCTTGAATGCGCCCTGCAGCTTGAGAAGAGCGTGAACCAGTCGCTGCTCGACTTGCACAAGCTCTGCTCCGATCACAACGACCCACATGTGAGTATGAAGTGTGGCTGGACGGCTGCAAAGCACCATAAAGGTTTTAGTTGGTGAGAACCAGTCCCAGATCTTCAACAGTAAGGTATCACTTATTAGAACAGGCATGTTTAAGGACTTTGAAACTGCTGAAGACGTCTGAGTTGTACAGAAATCAGATTGTTTATCTACAAATTCTGCACATTTTAACGTTTAGTTGTGCAACATGTGATGTGGTCTGTGTCGCATGGTTTAACGTAAACCCGCTCTGCGGCAGACTCCATCTGACTCGGCTGTCGCAGTATTCATGCCAAGTTTCTTGTGACAGAGCCACAAGTGTCTGAACCGCTCCAGAACATCCTCGTCTGATAGTCTGGAAAGAATTATCACTCGATGCAAGATGACAATACAGAGATTCAGTTTTGTCAGTTTAGGTGCCAGAGCTCTTTTCTTTTAAAACAAAACTCTTTCTTTCAGATGTGTGATTTCATCGAGACGCACTACCTGGACGAGCAGGTGAAGTCCATCAAAGAGCTGGCGGACTGGGTGACCAACCTGCGCCGCATGGGCGCCCCGCAGAACGGCATGGCAGAGTACCTGTTCGACAAACATACTCTGGGCAAAGAGAGCAGCTAAATCCCTCCACACCACATTTCTAAACGCTTCTATATGTATGTTTGTATCTTGCTTTTCACGCCATCTGCATGATCCTGGCTCGTCATTTCAGCGTCCCATTTTATTCATGTCATTAGCGCCGTTTCCTCCACTTCTATGAACCCTGTGAGCTGGTGTGTTCACAGCCTGCTCCGTCCTTCACCTCGCGCTCTGCTACGCTCCTTCATTAATGCGTTTGCTGTGTTTTATGCCAGGAGTTGTTAATCCGACCAAATAAATGGAACCCTCTGGATTCTGATGGCTTTTGTTTCTTGTGCAGATGTTTGGTCTAAATTAAGCTCCATAACTGAAACTGTCACCAGCGATCTCTTTCACTTCCATCACCACACAAAAAACGGAACTGGGCAGCCAGTTAACACCTTTGGGTAAAAGTCTTATGCAAATCCCAGTAATGGGGCTTTTTATTCTCACAACTTCAACATTTTTAGACCTCTGGCTGTTCTCATTGTGTTAAATGGAGAACAAAGGTTTTGGTAGTTCAAGAAAACTCCAACCCAAGCAGGAACATAATCACTGTGTTTATCTGACCGTGAAGAACATGACGACAGTTTTCCTCAGAGCCTGTGGTCTCCAGAAAGTGTACACCAGAGCTCCTGAGTAAGCAGCTCGATGTGGAGCTAAGTAGTACCGTCGGCCGTCGGGCCTCCACGGCTCCCTGAAGCATTAGTGGCAAACAGGAGCTCCTAAAGCTGCTGCTTGTTTTTCTGAAGAGCTTTAACAGTAAATCACGGAACGTCCACCTCGGACTCATTCTTTCCATAACAACATGTTGTAAGAGCGAGCCTGCGTCACCAGGAGTTCCCCGTTCTGTGATCCAGACGTGTTTTTGTCACGGATGCAGGAGTGGGTCCCTCTAGTGGTGGCTGAATGAACACCACAACCAGCAGCACTGAGTCCTGGCTGGTCAACCAGCTTCTACCCAACGAACAGCCCTACTGGAGGCTGAGAAGCAGTGACTGGACCGCTTCACCACACTGTGCTCTGGTACTGTGTTCTCTATTCGGGTTTCACCTACAAGTCAAAAACTAGCACCCTATCTGGAAAACCGAACAGAAGAGCACATATTTAAAGGTTACACCGTTGTTATGCAGATCAGCCCTTTTCCTCTGAAACAGATCGACGTGTCTTCCTGCATCAGTGAAACTAGAAATGTGTCGTGATCGTGCTTAAAAATGATCAAACATCACAAATTGTGCATTTTGTATGACACTGAGCACAGTGTAGGCCTTTGATAGGTCTGAAACTGCTTCTAAATATTCAACATGTTCTCTTCAGCTCCCTGCAGGATGCATGGAGTCGGTCTAACAGCTGTGACGCTCTCATTGCTTTTAAAGTAATGCAGTCCTTTATTATTTACACTATTTGTCAGGTGACCAACCTGAATAACAACAACAAACAGTAGAAACCAGAAGGTTACATCCACTGTATGAACAGACACACGATCTTTATTTTCTCACCGTCTGACGTTAAATCAGACAAAACGGTTCCTGTTTCAGGTCAGTCAGGATCACCAACACGATTTATATTTGCTAGAATCTTTTATGACTTTCTTCAGAAGTTTCCATCCATCCATCTCCTCCGTATCTGCCAGCGCTGACATGGGTCAAACGTTCTGGCAGCAGTTTGCTAGTAAGGATGAAGTACAAGAGATATTTTTGTAATGCTTTTTAATAAAGTTTTAGCACAAAGCCAACGGCAACGTGGGTGAAAACTCACCCAAAGAGCACTTCACAGAAACATTTCATGGCAGGAATAAGGCTCAGACTGTGATGCAGTGACAGGAAAGCATCACATTACTGCGTTACACACAAACGTACTGCCATCGCAGCGTTGCAGCTTCAGTCACGAAGCATCCACTGGAACTACCAAAACACCAACCACACTATCGTTTATTCTGACCCAAACAGGAAAGTAAAGAACAGAAGTGAAACAGAATTGGAAGAACAATGTGCCTGAAAAGAGAAGTGCTCTAAGGAAGAGCTGTTATCATGACCACATATCACACTGTTGTGGAAGATAGAAATGTGGATCAACATCTCCCATGATTCCTGCCAGATGGAGATGTTCACGCTTCTTCCAGCTCCACCAGCACACCGTCACAGTCTTTAGGATGAAGAAACATGACAGGTTTGCCGTGAGCGCCTATCCGGGGCTCCGCTGACAGAGTTCTGATGTTCTTTGCTTTCAGGTCGGCTATTGCAGCGTTAATGTCGTCTACCTGCAGCCAAGAGGACAACTCTGTCAACTGTTCGTCTTCTACAATTCGCGTGTTGCACATTTCATCATATTTTACCATAAAGTATGACTCGCACTGCGTTTGCTGTGTCCAAGCACAGAGAGGTTTAGCTTTGGTTTCAGAACACTGGACCTCCTCCTGCTACCAGCTCACCCAGAACACATGCTCTCAGTGAACGTCAGGACTGATCAACAACAGTTTAAGTAGCTTTACTGGAGAAGATTTATTATGAGGCTCATTTAAACGGATGGAAACGGGAATTTTCTGGAATATCCACACACAGAATAACGGTGCTTTTCTCTGACAAACTGCCGCCGCCGCGTTCCGTTAAACCTGAAAGGTTTCTGACCGACTTCATGGAGGAACGGCTTCAGTGTGAACCTGGTCCAGAGAACATTAGAAACATTTTGAGGCTGGATTATTGAGGCCAACATCATCAATGACATTTGATCTTTGACTGTATAAATGCTGTGGACATCTAACAAGCTGCTGCCGTTTGTTCATAAACAATGTATAGTGGTTGTGTTTACAGCTTAGTTAACCAGATGCACCAAGTGTCCTTCTACTAAAAGGTAAACGCTGGCATTCCTTGTAAAGGTGCAGTCTCCAGACCTAAGACCCAAAAGAACACCTCTAGGACAGAGTAGAACAGCTGATTAATTAAAGCATAAAGGTCCTGCTATTTTTATGTTTTTGTAATTGATTGAATTTATAATTGTGACATTAGAGTATTTTCATGACACAGACTCATCAAACGCAGACAGAACTAACACTGATTGGATGGTGGATAATTGCTATTCAGGTGTGTACATGCCATCAGAGAACCAGGACACACCTGTGTTTTCCTGGTTTGACTGTCCGCTGTGATGCATGCTGACTCACTTGCACACATAAATGGAGCAGAGCCTTCATCACTGCTATTAGTGACATGACTCACCTGCTTCGTCACATAACAGCGTTCTGCATTGTCATGGTTACACAACGTCTCAGCCGAGGGTACAAGTGGGACCCACACAGTCCGCCAGGGTCCCTCTGACATGCTGACACTGCTGTCTCACCTCAATACAAATGTGATGCATCCCTCCAGACTTGTTCTTCTGCAAGAAGCCGGAGATGGGACTCTTCTCCCCCAAAGGATGGAGCAGCTCCAGCTTGGTGTTGCCGAGCTCCACGAACACCGTGTAGACACCGTGCTCGGGCAGGGGCACCTTGTCGCTGACTGTGGCCCCCAGCACATCCCGATACAGAGCCGTGGCCTTCTCCATGTCAGGCACGGCGATGGCGATGTGGTTCAGCCTCCCCAGCTTCCACAGGGATCCAGGAACGCCCTGATGGACGGGTGCCGTCGTTGAACGCGCCCTCAGGAGCGCGACACGAGAACATCTGGAAATGCCTGCCACTGAGTTAACAAATGAAAACACAGTGAGATGAACGGTAGCAGCTGTGTTGACATCAGTCCAGCAGAACCAAAGGTGACACCGAAGCTCTGGAAAAGTCTCCCTTCTCTTCTATCAGATCATGTCCCACTGCTGGCAGTTTAAAATCATTGTTAAAGGCTCACCTTTGCTCCTGCTTTCAGTTCTTCCTGAGGCTATCGAGCGGTTGCCTGATTTCACTTATTTCTCTCTGATGTGGTTTTAGTTCGAGCCCCTTTTTCTCACGGTGCCGACATGCTTTACCTGAGCCGTCCTGGTCTTATGGCCATCTGGACATCTATCTGGGCATTTCTGCCATGCATTTAGATTCATTACTGTAGTTAAAAGGAAACTGTGATCTGATATACGTCAGAAAGTGAAAGAAAGAAAGAAAACCTTGTATGCTTTTCTGGAGTCATGATTTTATTTCTAAAGTAGTCAGATTAATCCCCATCAATCATACCATAGGGTCACAGCTTCCATATTTACTAGTCAGATAAGGTTGTCTGCTATATGAGTCTTGTAGGGTTTCCATCTGTGATATCTGCCTTCATCATCACACAGACACCTGCTGGGTCTGAGCCTCGGTTCTTGTACCTGTCAGGGTGTGGCTGACTCTGTGCTGCATAAATACCAGTGGCTTCATTCCAGTGGCTGTTTCAACAAACAGGTAAAGCACATTCTGTACCAGCTCCTTCCAAACCTGCACTTAAAGTTAATGATGTTTACATATCGACCTAAAGACGAGTATTTATGGATGCACAAACTGAAATGTTATAGATGCATAAACGCACAATTTAACACACATTTCCTGATATTTGTGATGTTGTGGAATCTGCACTAGATTATAAAATAAAGAATTAAACCCATGTTTAGATAACATTCACATTCAGTGAAATGATCCCTGCTTCATGTACAAAGAAGCCAAATGTCACGGTTTAGACACAGATGACTAGAAGTTCCTATAGGATGGACTCTAT